TTTTTTTTTACCTTTTCCATTTCAATAAAATGAGTATTTCTTTTCTTGCATATGATCATTGCATTGCATTTCATTTCCTAAAAAAAAAGAAAAAAAATCCATGCCGAACTAAGCACTAGGTTTCCCAATGATTTGAGGCACCCCTTGTAGCCATAATATATCACCTTTACCCTTTCAAATATACAATCCTTTCTTGATAAACCACTTTGAGCCTCGTCTGACGATGGATCTTCATTTTTTCAACCAACATCTACCTAACCTTGGGATGGGATGGTGTGAAACTTATGCAATTTTTAAAACGAAATCTTGAGTGATTATTCCAAAATTTCGAAAGTTCTAAAATAATAAAAGTGTGCAAAAGGGCAAGTGTTCCAATGTCTTTGATATGAACACGTCTCAGATTGCGTCTCTTATTGAGTGCTCGGCACCGTGCATAGCTCCCTGACCTAAGCAACACTCGGTAATTACCATTGTATACGTGCTTAGCTTCCAGACTTAAGCAACTTTTAAGATTGTTTGTTTTTTTCACACTCTATATATGATGCTTAGCTTCCTAACCTAAGCAACATACATTTACAGCAAACTACTGTGCTTAGCTTCATGACCTAAGTGCATTCATTGATCGTGTCACATGATGTAATTGTCCTTAGCCTCCTGGCCTACAAACATTCATCATGCATACATTATTATCAAGACAAGCAATTCAAGTTGACAAGAAGAAAATCCATGTGATTTATCTCGCTTTGCTCAACGAGAAAGTTCAAAACTTCTTCCTTTTTTCATGTCTTTTCTTTTGGGGAAGTTCAAAAACATTTTTAAAAATTTTCTCGGCATGGAAATTCAAAACTTCTTCCATTTTTTTCGTATTTTTTCTTTTGGGGAAGTTCAAAAACTTTTTCAAATTTTTTCATCGAGGAAAGTTCGAAAACTCTTACTTCATTTTTCACGTCTTTCTTTTTCGGGAGAAAGTTGGTACCTTCACCTCATGACAAAAAAAATAACGGAAATTTTTTGAATTTTTTGCTTTTGCATTATCAGTTGCTTGTGTCTGTGCACATACTCAAACTATACTTATGCACACACAATCACAAGTCATACACATGTCATGTCAAGTCAAGCTTGGTCAAGTCAATCACAGTCCATACGAGTCCTTTGGCAAATTCTATTTTTCAGGTCTAAGGAACAATCAAATCATCAACATCTACAACCCACGTTCGGGGAAAATCAAACCATTATCATTTATCAAAGACCTAGTGATCATCTCTCGAGGCGAGGACGATTCACGTTGCAAGGTTCTTGAGGCACAGAGACTTGTAATTTCTCATTATCAGACAAGATTTTCTCAAGGCGAGGAAAATTGTCGTTTGTTGCACACTTCTCGAGGCGTAGAAGTCAGTAATTGTGTCCGAAGGTGTGGACGATTAACATTGCAAGACAAGCTTTTACCGAGGCGTGGAAAATTGCCAGTCATTGCAAACTTTTCAAAACGTAGAAGTCGCCGATTGTGTCCCAAGGCGTGGACAATTCACGTTGCAAGACAAGTTTTTCTCGAGGCGAGGAAAATTGTCGGTCGTTGCACACTTCTCAAGGCATAAAATTTGGCATTTGTGTCCCAAGGCTTGGACGATTCACGTTGCAAGAGACTTGTAATTTTTATTATCAGACAAGTTTTCCCGAGGCGTGGAAAATTTTCGGTCGTTGCACACTTCTCGAGGCGTAGAAGTCAACGATTATTTCCCGAGGCGTGGAAAAATATTATCTAACAAAATTCTCGAGGCGTGGAAAAATATCATCTAATAGAATTCCCAAGGAATGGAAAATTATCATCCGATAGATTTCTCGAGGCGTAGAAAACTACCAAACATATTTATCACTGATACACTGGTGTCAGATACGCATTCTAACGCTTTTCTGCAGGTATTGGCGTATACAGAGTGATTTAGGATCGCAAAATGTCTTAAATCATTCTTCGGCCCAATCGACCACTTTAACTGTTGTTTTCGAAACTTACGTTTCTACAAACTCAGTCAAAGTGGGGGCTTCTGTAGACACCTAAAAATGTCTCCCCAAAACCAAACTCGATGATGAACAATCTTCATTGCTATTATTGGTCGAGTCGAGTATTTAATTTTGGGAGTGCTTAAAACCCATATTTAGTCAAACATATTCAGTCCACTTATCAGTCCAAGCATTTATTCAAACTCAGTCCAACTCACATTTTAGCCTAAACCCTTTTTATTCATTTCGTGTTATTTATTAATTAAGCCCGATTAGTAAATAATGAAACCCTAAGCCTGAAATAAGTGCGGAATAGCTGAAATGGTGCATAATTATCACGTGCTTAATGCTTAAGAAAAAGATAAAATGAATTTAGACCAAATTCAGGAAAACTGATTTGCCGCGCCACGGCAAGTTTTGTCGCGTCACAACATATTGCTCCGCGACACATCAAATTGTACCGTGTCACGGCAATTTGCGCCGTGACATGGAAACTTTTAGGTTTAATTTCTTCACGGCGCTTCAATTCTAGGGTTTCGTGCTTCACCCCTCATATTTTCCCTATAAATACGAAGCTAATTTCACCAGTTTCTGGGGCACCAAATCATTCTCTCTTTCTCTCTTATGCTCTAGCCTAAACACTAGTCTTCCCTATTCTTCCACAATACATCCCCTAAGCACTCCCTTGAGTCTGTACTTTACCCGAGGTTCTAAACTTAAACCAAGGCGTGGAAGGTACGAAGAATTGTTTGAGGGTTTGGCCCCAAATAAACTCTAGTTTAATTTAATTTAATTTCCATTATTATTTATTATTTTCCTTAAAGTTACTAACAATTTATTCATGATGTAGCGATTTAAAGAAGCATGGAACATTGAGTAATTAATTGCTTAATTACTCTTATTTTTATTCTTATTGCTAGTATCATGATTAGGGTTATTATGATTTGATTTGACTAACATTATTATGGCTAAAATTCTTCCAATGTTAATAATGATTTTATTATTGTAATGATCACCATATTGCATGTTAAAGAGAATATGTAATTGAATATAACTCCTAATAAGATAATTTGGACAACTGGTTTAGGTTCCTTTTTAATATTGTTGTTTAATCAAGTGATCACTAATAATTAGAAATATTTGTTACATTTACATACAACCAATTTAGCATAATAATAGTTTGGGGCAAATTGAATCTTTGTTTGCATGCCTTTGAGATCGAAGGAATACTTTTCACAATAAGAATCGAGTAGAGGCCAATACAGGCGAACGTGACTCCATGACTCACTTCGTACCATCATCCCCGATCCCCCTTTCGTGGTTCCGAACCATATGGAGTTAGTAATCTTATGGATTATGAATGGGGTGTAACCTTCACGGGTCAATCGTTGTTGCCTATCGTTGTCCATTAATCGTGGTTTTTAAATGATCCGTGAACGGTTTACAAGTTCCTAAAAAAATTGTTGGCGGCTCCTTACTTTGCTTTGTCCTTAATCGTGTCCCTAATCGTATGTCTATTCCCGCTTCCTATGAGTGCCAAGCATATTCACAACATGCTTAACGTAGGCCCACTTCAAATGACGCCTACAAATAAGTAGGCAACCTCACATTGGGGTGCGGCCGTAATAAAAACGCATTCACTCATATTCACATTCACGCACGATTATATCAAGGGATCTCCAATGTTCATCCTTATCCATTTAAAGCTAAACTTGGGGGCTTGATCTCTGCTTCATTAGCCTACCCAGCCTTAGAGTCACCATCATTTTTCTCTTCTCAAAAATATTTTTCCACACCCTTAGCCTTTGCTGCCTAACCTTAGTGTCACTTTCACACACATCACACATACATAGCCAAATAATCCTTCCCTTAGGAACCCTTTCTCATGAAATCTTTATACAACTTTGAAGCATTCCTTGTTATCTTTAAATCCCTCATTATCATAATCGTCATTGCATCACAAAGAATGAGGTACTTAGCCTCTGTGCCTAAGTTATCCAAATACTTTCATTATAGGAACATCAATTGAGATAGTCTAGGATGCTACAATCCTTACACCATTAGATAAAACGATTAATACATACACTTAATTAAACATGCACCATTACTTGACACGTCAGAGCTAGCATGGCGCAATAGGAGCAGTTTTATTCTGTTCCAAATTCTGATCTTTTATCATCGTCCGACTCTCTTTTTTCCTTATAAATAGAGGTCATTTTCCCAATTTTCAATTCAGGTAGAACCATCAATCATAAGCTCCAATAAGTTATAATCACCTAGCTCCAATCATCATCATCAACCCTTATCAAATATCCATGTTCTGAGCCTTAGCCTAAACACATCCTTGATACTCTCCCAAATCATCCACAATACCTCATTCACGAGATTCTAATACTCTAAGCCATCCTCGACGTTGTCTTCGATCTCGGCGTGAAAGGTTAACAGTTATGAGGGTTTGGTCCCAAATCTATATTTCAATTCATATTTCATTTATTTACTTTATTGATTTAAACTTTCTTGAAATTTACTAACGTGTGTATTGTTTTAATAACAAGAAGGTTGAGGCATCAAAGTGAGTAATTCAATTACTTAATTATTCTTTTGATTTTGGTGTAAAAAATCATGTTTCGCATGTTTTTATGCTTCCTAGTATCATGTTACACTAGGCGAAAATACGTAATCCCCACCGGTTCAAACCCCCCATTTAGCACCGGTTTTGAACCGGTGGGGATTTGGGGGGTGCTTAAACCCCATACATTTCGCACCAGTTCAAAACTGGTGCGAAAAATGACTTTTCGCACCGGTTCTGGGTGAGAACCGGTGCCAAAAACTAAACTTTTCACACCAGTTTTGTCTTAGAACCGGTGCCAAAAGTCTCCAAAAATATTTAAAAAACCTTTAGCACCGGTTCTTTTCTAAAACCGGTGCCAAAAGTGCCTCAAAAAATTAAAATTTCTTTTTTTTCATTTTTTTCACTTAAATTGTACAAATACTTATATATATAATCATAATATACATAAAACACATATATTTTCTTCAATATTTGTGTCATACATCCATTAAAGAGCACTACATCTTTGATAAATAGAATAAAAACTAAGACAAAAAAAACAGCAGACTGCAGCAGCTCCCACTGACCCCAAGCCTGCAACAGAGAATGAGACAGCACAGCCACACCACGACCAGCAACCCCAGCAGCAGCTACAAGCAAAACAGCAACCAAAAGCTACACCACGGCTAGGCAGCCAGCACCAGACCCAGCACGAGCTGTCAAAACCAGCAGAGCAACAGCACAATAGTGCAACAACAGCACAAACATACAGCAACTTGTCAGCAAAGCAGCACTGAACACAGCAGCGCAACCACAACAGCAGACAGCAGGCAGAACAGCAGACCAACAGGCAGCAAACAGCAGACAGCAAACCTATACATAAAATCCTAAGATTAAACATTTAACAATTCTAGGAAGAGTTTTGTACATACTCCTCGTAGTCGGGCTAGGGTTACTTACTATAATTATCTTAAACATAACCCTATGATCAGAGAAAACCTCAATTATATTCTGCCTGCAGGGAACAAGCCTAATACCAGCAGTAGTGAAATCATGTCCTTCGCATTTTTTAAAAAGGTTTGGCATATTAGTGCCTAGGATAAATTCACAAGTGCTTAAGTTGTTGTCTGAGAAAGGAAAAGGGAATAGATAGGTTTTTTTTGTTTTTAATTTGTTCCTTGACAATGGAAGGTGAAAATGGAAAACAAGAATTTGAAACAAACCAAGAAAATGGGCCGGGTGTAATTAGTCAAAAGAGCTTGAGAGGAAACAAAAAAAAAGGGAGATAACAGAAGGAAAAAGCACTTGTGAATATGGATAACGCATACGAGACTACTTCACAAAGACAGTAAAAAGTGTGGAAGGATTACAAAAATTATCTGTGAATATATGCGAATTAAAAAAAATCAAAGTTTGTTCAAGATTACTATTAGTTGTATCAAGTTTTCTGGAAAAAAAAAAAGGACTCAGTACAGTTATCCAGCAAGACACACGACTCTAGTTATTTTGAGGTCATTACAAACGTACGAGCATTTCATTGACACAAACCAAGCAAGAAATTGAAAAATAAATGTCGGTTGAAAAAAAAGTAAGTAATAACAGTATTTACCCTTAGACTCCAAATTCTGAATCAATAGTACTTGTATATTGATTTCTGACAAAAGACACTAAAGTGAATAGCTTGCTATGAATGCTATCACTTGACCTCAGTTGTGTCCAACATGATGTTTGTGCTTTTCTGGCATAACTGACCATTGAGATACAGTGCAAAAGTGCAATCAGCTTCATCTGAATGCACTTAGAAGTTAGAAGTAAACATCAAAGTTTTTTAGAGAACTTCATTTGGATTGTTTAAAAGGTTTAGTATAATCAGCTCAAAGAAACATTGATTGCCTAAGCCAACAGCATATTGAAAGGATTAAAAACTACAGATGTATACATAAATAACAACCCTTCCCTGGCTTCCATAATTTAATTATCTAGAGGTAGATAGGGCACAAATCTCGTCAAATTTATGTACGTCTAATCTAATTCAGATAGAAGAATATCAAATCAACTAATTTTACAAAACAATGAGAGAAGGCTAACTCACTCTTCATCGTAGCTTTCATCCTCTGACCTCTCCTATTTGCTGATTGATGCTCGCTTGCCAATTGAGCAGCATCGATTGCAACAGTTCCCATCTCAATGAGGAACCACTATCCACTACTTAGAGGCAACACTCCTATATCTTAACGTGTCCAAGCTCCTAATCAAATGGGGTTTATACTAGTCATGTTTCAGTTTATAAGAGGAAATGACAACCTAGAGTAATATATTTAAAATATAGACAAGTTCCAATAAAAAAAAATCAAAAAATCTTTGAAAGCCGTCAGAATCATTACCACTCATACAGCCAAACTAAATGGTCAATAGTCTCAATACCCACAATCTTTTAAGTAATTCAAATAATTTACCTTGTTCAGAGCTTCAAGTAACAGTGATTCTGCTTCATCAAAATTTCCCATATGCATACAATAGACAGCCTTGCCATTCAGGATCAATCCAGTCACTGAATACTTCTCAGAGAAATCCTGGAAGATGAGATATGCCTCCTATATCTTGGAACCTCCCTATAACAAAGAAAACGTATCTTTAGCGGTCAACTCAAGTAAATTCATGCAGTATACCTCAAAAAGTTGAAACCAAGAAAGCATGTTATGGAGGTTTTTCTTAAAGCTAACTCTGCTGTGTTAGGTATAGCCCCACATTAATTAAGAAAAAGAAATACATGCAGCTCGGTCAATTCTATTTGCAACAAAGCAAAAATTTCATGTTCATGTATACATGAAACCAGAACAGGTTCACACATGACAGGCAGGTCATGTCAGTAGGCATCAGCATTTAAATGATGTGCAGATCATGTACATACTGGTAATTTAAGCAACTAACTCATAGATAGTAAGGTAGAAATTAGTACTTTTCATTTTCTCCAGTTTTAGGCAGAATAGCTATCAGTAAGAAAAGGGATTTCAAAATCATTTATAGTTTTGCGAAGTAAATTCTCACCTTCATCGGGATTAGAGGAAAAAGACCCATCTGGGTAATCACTTTCATTATCAGGCCTGCATAAAAAAAAAAAAAAAGAAAAAAAAAAAAAAAACAAGTTAACAGTAATCAAAATTTTCTCACTAATGTATAAAATGAGCAAAAGGAGAGTATGAAAACAGAAAATCATAATCGCCTACTGCTAGAGTGCTTTGTGCTAGCTACTAAGAAGCGATTTTTTTTGTCTTTGTATCAGAGACCCTCAGAGTTATGTACAAATACATTCACTAGATTTTGAGGTGAATTTTTGAGTAATAACATAGAATAAATACAATAATGTCAAGGCTAGAAGAGTAGTTCTGATATACAAAGTATAAAACTTAGTTTCTATTTCAGTTCCATAAATTGCTTACATTAATTTACAGAGTTTAGCTATTTAGCTGACTGTTACTTAGCTAACATCAAACAAAAAATGATATAGAAGTTCCCTTCATCTCTCTATAGCTTTCTCCATTCTCCTACTTCAGTTTAATCTTTACCCACACTACAAGGCATCTCAATTTCAATACAACTTAGACGACTACCTATTGATGTTGGCACAATGTACTACGGAAAATTAGACACTACGAGCAAATCTATAAACTCAAAAATTGTATCAAGGAACTATCCTAATGTGAAAGAGCCATAACATACAAATATTAAAGACTGTAAAGGCTCATTCAATGAATGCGAATGAATTTACATTTTGGAAGCAATGGCTCAGGCTAATGTCCATGGTAATGTTTTGTCAACATTTAGACTGTCAAAAGCTCAATTAGTAACAAGACCGCCATAAAGGGCAAACAAACCAATGAGAAGCATCCCACTAACTTAGCATCCAACTAACACTAAATGTAGCCCTTTTTTAAATATGAGTAATACAATAATACAGAGTACTACTTAGCTTAATTCGAAGAATCTAAACTAGTAAAGATACCAGGAAAAAAAATAGTGATAAATTGATCAGACTTACCCTTATCAGTAGTTTTCATTAGAACAATTAGACCCTTAGAGTTCCTGCTGGTGTGATGAAACAAAAGAATTACACTCAGTTTTATAATTTACAAATATAAAACATAAAAATGACTGTATGATTTAGACTCCCTGACCAACACACAACCTTCCTATGTCATTCGTTCCTGCAATAGTGGTCTTTGTGATTGGGACACGCTTTGCCAACATTTCCCTAATTGATTTTGGTGTGGCGATATTTGTTCATGGAATTAGAATTAACAGTCTTATACTATAATAAGTATCTTCAGTTGAAATGACTATTAGTAATCAATCTTTTTGCGTTTTCATACCATAAGTTGTACACCAATTTCCCACTTCTAAAGAATCAAATTGACTTAGAAAAACAAATCAACCAATACAGAAAACACCAATATTCTATTCACTATAGCAAGAATTTAACTTAGTTCCGCAAAATAAATTTTAAATCTAACTCAATGCCATCATATTCTACTTAATACAGATAAATTTAACTCAATGGAATAAAATAAATTTCAAAATTTTCAACATATACAATAACAAGGGTTCACGAATTATATATTAACAACAATAATGTATGTACATAAATTGAAAGAGACCTGACGAAATTGAATTGCATGACATTCTTCCAATTAACCATTAATTGGAAAACCCTTAATTTCTTCCAATTAACGGCCTCGAGAAATTAGAAAACCCTTAATTTCTTCCAATTAACCTCAGTTGGCAAAAATCACTCAAACATAGAACAAATTCACGAGTAAATCCATTAAAAATCAATCCAATAACACAACCAGATTCGACAACCCTAAAACAACAACAACAAAATCAACCAACAATTCAACAATCGCAAAGAAGATCAAAATCAAGAACAACTAAAAAAAATAAAATCAAAACCAAAAGGAAGCGAAATCGAAGCAAACCAGGAGCAGCTTCAATGGAGGTGAGAAAGCTCAGATTCGGCTTCAATGGAGAATATAGAGCACGATTCAATGGAGGCGGAGGTGCTGCTTCAATGGAGTGAGAAGGCGGAGGTGCTGCTTCAATGGAGTGAGAAAGCTAGGGCAATTCAGGATTCTGGATAGAGAACGAAGGCGAAAACGAGAGGGAAATTAAAAGTACTGAACATGGAAAGAAAGAAGAAGAAAAGCAGCCCGGTTTTTTTTTATATTTCGTAAATCGCACCGGTTTATTAGGAACCGGTGGAAAAAGTATTTTCCCCAATCCCGCCCATTTCTTTTTCTCACCGGTTTTCAAGAACCTGTGCGAAAAGTGCGCTGCGTAATTCATTTTTTCTACTAGTGTTAGGATGATTTTATGATTTCTAGTATCATGTTTAGGATAATGCTTCGATTTTCGTTAGTAATGACATGCTAGGATTTGTTATTAATCTGTTTAGTATCATGCCTAGGATCTTACAATTAACGATGTTTTGATGATGTTTTATGATGATGATTGTTGTATTAATTATATGTTGCTTGATTATTCATGATTTATTGCTATTGCTTGATCACGCCCTTTTTGCTGGTTTAAAGGGAATTTGTACTTGAAATCACGCCTAATAAGATAATTAATAATTTGATTTAGGCTAATATGATTTTAATTCAAGTGATCACCAATAATAGATTTGATTGTGCATTAATAATAAACCAATACAGATTAAACGGGTTTAGGATTAACTTGATGTATGTATGTTGATTGAAAAGCGCACATGAATATCATAAGAATTAAGTAGAGGCCTATTTAGGGCAGGTTCAATCTCTTTTAGGTTGGATTCATAATATCATCCCCGAACATCCAGCCATGGTTTCGGACCACTATGGATTTAGCGATCTCCGTAATCGTGAATGGGGTGTAACCTTCACACCCGTGAACGATTTATAAGTTCCTAAAACTTGTTGGCGACTCTTTTATCTCTAGCTTTTTTCCCTTGGAACGCCGCCATGCTTAAAAACATGAACCACAGTAAGGCTCAAAGATGAGTTTGAAAAATTCCCTATAGCTAGGAAAGAGGAGTCAAACTTCCTTGATTCTTGATCCAATACCAATGCATAAGAGTATATCAAGTCATGTACCTAGAACAAGACACACAAACATTTCCATGAGAGAAAATCTTTACTAAAAAGAAAAGAAAATGAAAGCAATAAAACACGGGTTACTTCCCGAGAAAGGCTCACTTAAGGTCCAAGCTCAACCGCTCTAGTAAATAATATTGCAGCGATTGCAAGAGCTTGTCAAATGCACTACTACATATCTCATAAGAAAGTAAGTATGCACATGCCGAAATGGGGGCATGCCACAAGCTTAGTGCACACCTACAAAAGTGAGAAGAGCTACGCCAAGAAGAGGAAGGAGAGAAGGGAAAACAAGAATATAAGAAAAAGAAGAAGAAATAAAAGAAAAGGAAGAAAGCATACTCTTGTCAACAAAATATTTTTGGTTGGATGTCCCACCATTATCCTCAATAGTCATCAAATGAGGCACTTGGGGGTACTAAAGGCTCTTCAAAAGGAGGGGAAATGAGAAAAGAAGGTAATGACATGGGATAGGAAGGAACAAGTTCGAGCTTTCTTGTAAATGGGATGTAAGGTGAAGAAATAGGAATTGATTGCTCACTTACCATTGAATCACAAGCTCTCTCCTCCAATAAACTTACATCCAAAGGGCTCTCCTCCAACTCATCATCATTTAAATCAACATCATCATTTAAATCAAGTGCATTTTTCAATCTCATCTTCCTCATAAACTTCACACCCTAAATGAGCTGTCAAAAGCTTTAAATCATCATCAAGGTTCAAAGGAAGCTCATTAAAGGGTTGAGGGTCAAACTTGGGAGGTAGCTCAAGATAAACACAAGGATCGCAATTTCCCACTAATAAGGCCTCACCATCCTCAATGGTGGAAAATGTAGAAGAAAAAGGATCATCAAAGGTGAAAGAGGAAGGCAATGGTTGTAGATTTGAGATAGGATTTGGAGACTCAATCTCACAAAACACTTCACTCTCATCTTCATGATCATTAAAAGTAAGCTCTACCTCCTCAACCTTCTCATATTTAACCTCATCTTCATCAAAATCATCTAAGCTCAAGGCCTCACCCTCAAAGCAACCATGGTTATCACTCAAAGGAGATGGGATGGAAGAAGATTGGTTTTCAAAATTAAAAGATGGAGAAATGAAATCATAATCAAGGGATGGGTGGGGGAATTGACTCACCAATTGGTTCTTCAAGACTAGAAACCTCTTAGTCCTCATCACCCTCAAACATCCAATCCCCCATGGAAACTACTTCATCCTCCTCATCATTCTCTTTCCTCACATCTTCTCCACGCTTAAAAAATTGCAATGAGCCATCCTTTAAATATTTAAATTACCATTTCCTCAACATTAAGAGAAGCTAATATTTTAAGTTTCTCTTCAACTCCATCTAAAGGCTTAATGGAAAGAAATTCAAGTTGGAATGGAGGTTCAAAATGCAAACACTCTTGGGAAACATCCATCTCTACTCCCTTTTCCTTGCTCATATGCTCTCTAACATCCTCCTCACACACTTTTGAACTCTCAAAACAATCATCATCATCTTCCACATCTACAAAAGTTGTAGAAACTTCATTGACATTCAACATTGATGACAATTGACATCTCATCTCCTCATTTCTCCTACAAACGTCCTCATTTCTCTCTTCCATCTTTTTCATCATTTCCATTTGGCTTCTCATAGTCTCCAAACATCTCATCTCATCTCATATGGCTCCAAAAATTAGAATTCATCTCCAATTCTTTCAATGAATTACCAATTTGATCATAAAGAGACTCAAAGCTAGGCTCTAAAGATTGAAAAGATGAAGAAGAATGAGGATCATTATGGGGAGAGGAACCATATGCATGCATGTGGGGATCAACATTAGAGATATGTGTGGCATCATCAAAATGGGGAATGGGGGTACAATTAGGCATGCAAGATTCATCAAACGTGGAGCTTAGAACATCACAATTATCTATAGAAGTATTTGAATAACCATAACCACGATAATAAGTATCACTAGCAAACCACACATAAAATTCCCAAGCATCATCAATTAGTAATGCTCGAAATTCACCGTTAAACATGCTTTCAACAATGTCTCTTGTTTTCTCATTCAACTCATGATAACAAATCTCACAAGCCTCCCAAAGTTCACAACCATGGTAATTTATGAATTTCTCTAACCAATCAAAATACACCCAAAATGGCTCATTTTTAAATTGAGGAAATGAGGTACTTGCCAATTTTTTTATCAAAATAAGCAAAAATCAAATAAAATAAAAGTATATACAAAGACCTAGACTCAAACAATAAAAAACACTCAAACATAGACACTGTTCCCCGGCAACGACGCCATTTTTTACGTAGAGAAAACTAGCAAGCAACTACTCACTATCAATCATACAAGTTTTACCCAAACACTAGCAAGCAACTACTCACTAACAATCATCATCCAATTCAAACAAGTAATTGAAATCAAGAATCAACCAAATATGAAGAACAAACTAATCTAATCAAGAATCAAGCAACAAACTAAATCAAACAAGCATGAAATTAAAGAAAGCAATAAGATGAGATAGAGTAATAAATGTTCATTGATAATTGAGAATATTTTCAATACAATTGTCACTCTTGAATCTTCAATCTCTCAAATCAACATTGAATTTTCTCACTTTCTCTCTCTAAAACTACTCCTAAGCTAGCCTAATATAGGGAGAGAAGCTCTCAACCTAAGCCTAATTATGAGGGAAAAAATAAAAATGAAATCTACCCAAAATAGAAGGTCCGTACATATTTATAGTTATAAAAGAAAATAGAAGAAAAATAAGCAAAACCGCAAAATAGGGCTGCTTGGGCATACTGATCTGCTCGGCCGAGCAAATGCCTATGCCCGAGAATACCCTATTTTGGCTCGGGTTGTGCTTGGCCGAGCTAATGCTGTTTGACTGAGCTGCTGCTTGCGAACGGGAGATTCTTGGTGTTTCGGGGTTTTCTGATGTCCTGCGGGAGAGTTACAATTCTGAGACTGGAACCGGACGCCTATACCTGCAAAACAAACGGAGACTCCGAGTGATTAGAGTTCCGCCTCCAACGGTCAAGTTAGTACTTGTGTAAGGAGTAATTAATGCGGAAGAATGTAAATGTGTCTCTCTAGGTGAGAGTGTTAATGTGCGTAATCCCCCTAAATGAGGATTAATGAAGGTATTTATAACCTTGGGAAGCGTGCCAATTTCTAGGTTTGGGTTAAACCTAAGGCTGACTGGGCTTTTTCCAAGGATTGGGCCTAGGTGGCCGATTATCCCATGTGTCATGGGGAGGACACGTGTTGTGTCGCAATTGGTCCATGGTGGACGAATCACTGACTGACACGTGGCAGGCTCCTATTTGCCCATGTAAAGGACACGTGACGGAACCTGATTGGTCCACTTGTCAGATAGTGATTGGAGGGAAAAATCCCCTAATCATTTGCCCTTCATAGGTGGCACGTGACTGGTCACATGTCACCTGTGATAGGTGTCGGATCGTAATAGGCGACGACCTGCTACAGGTGTCATTTAGTGAAAGGCCGAGAGTCTTTCCCGCTCAAATTTTGAATTTGGAAGTGACCCTTCGTCTTCTCATTTTGCCTATATAAGGGCATGTTAACTTCAGATATTTTCACACTTGAGAACTTTTATAAGAGAACACTCGGACCCCTGAACCTGCTTTGACATTTCGGACATTTCCAGCCTACCGCCTGCTCTGACAAGTCGACTAATACTCAGATTACTTTTCAGATCTTCGTCAAATTCTCTCTCGTTCAGGTAACCGTCTGTTCTCTCATTCTTTTTCTTTTTATTTTTTCTTTTTGAAATGGCACCACGGAAGCACACGACACGACCTAGGTTAGTGATCAGCCGGTCACCGGGGACGGCTAAGTCTAGGACTAGGAGTGCCGCCTGCCCCTTTTCGAACCAATCTTTTCCCTTTATACAAAGTCCGACTTTCTCTGTGTCTATGCAGAACATAATGGCCAGAACAAAAAGAACTGATAGGATCACAAATTTAGACGGCTCCTCCTACCAGGTGCCGATTAGTGAGACATCTGACTAGGCGCCAGATGTTGAAGTGGATCAAGGCGGCTTAACCGCCGACAGCTCTGAGGGAGGGGTCAAGGTGGTCCCTTCCCATTTTACCGTAGATATGTCTACATATTCTCCCCCTCCTGTTGAAGGAGAGGAGGCGAGCCCCTCTAGGA